AATAACATTCTGATTTGTATGCCATTTAACGGTAAAAACTTTTTGATATAATCATTAAAAAAAATCATTGGTAGATTGGCAGACTGTACTTTTTACTATATTTTGTTCCTGAGACACAAACCATGTTCTTTTCAATTTTAATCACAAATTAGGTAGATGTCTTATAATTTCTGACCTGATTCATTTGTAATTATCTCTTAGTTTCTTGGGAAATATGAAACAAATATACATCTACTACTTTAGTTAAGAAAAAAAACAATTGGTTTTTCACTCTGAAATCGAACATACAGTGCATCAAAACAGGTAACATATAGATTGAAACATCTCAAATAAAAACTAAAAAGGAACCCAATGTTTTTTTTTCAAAAGTTGAACATCATGAAATCATGTAAACCAAAGCAAAATAATGTAAACAATGGTACAAAAATATTGCTTAAAATGTCTATAGTATAATAGGATAAATGAAGAATCAGTTCGTGTGGTTGTTAAGGCTCCAGGTTAGAAATAGGGAGACCATGAGTTCTAGTCCTGCCTTTGGCATAAACCCAGCTAAGCAACCTTGAGCCAGTCGCTTTCTCCCCAGTCATAGGTGAAAGAAACGATAGAGAAAAGGTGAAGTATCATTATGATGGCATTCAAGCCTTTGGCTCATGATAGGAAAATAGTGCTCCAAGGAAATAATGTCCTAAGGCCTCTAAGAGCAGGGAGGGTAAAAGGGTAGATATAGAGATAAGTGTGGCAGGAAAAAATGTAAGTCTTGACATCTGCTCTTTCAAAGTCACCAAAAGTCATGGAGACACAAACCTCCTAATCTAACAGATCTGTAAAACCCTTTTCCTAAAGAAAGGGGATATTACAGCCATTTTTTATCATTCCCCCCCCAAAAAAAAGGGAGAGAAAAAAGAAGCACCCATATGTTAATTTGAACCCACTCATATATATATGGCTTTCAGGATTGCTAAGTATAGATGTGATCAGTTAAACAAGCAATTATCCTTCCAGTTTTCACAGAATGGACAAGGTTTTGGAGGGAAAAGTGTTTGGGATGAAATATTTTGATCTTGTGATAAAAATCAATTTGGAAGTTAGGAATTTAGGAGATATGACCATTAATATAAGAAAATAATTATATACTTGGCCCAGCACTGCATGACCGTACAAATTTTAAATGTTCCAAATTGTTAAGATTAGTTTGGACCTTGATAGGGTATTCTATACCTTTGAAAAGCTAGTACCAAGTTGAATGTTTCTTTGATGATGAAAAGGTCCTGCTAAAAACATTTTTTGTTATTTTTACAAGGAACTCCAAGAAAACAAATACACAGGAAAACAAACTATTGTTAAGTTCTGGATTATAATAGAATCAGAGTTGTCATCTTCAACCACAAGAAAAGTAGGTGGGGTTTGAATGAAGAAGAATACGCTAAAATAAAAGATACCAAAGCAAAAATCTCAGAATCCTACATAAATAGAACCCATTCATAACATGAGTCAGATATGCAGTTAGAATATCAAAACTAAGAAAAAGTCAAAATCAACCAAGACCTGGAAACCCTCTTATAAAGCAGGGCAGACTGTGTCATAAAACAGAAATTTCGAGGTCATGATCGATCTGTTTTAATCTCTTCTGATGAAATATAGTCAACAGTACAATCTGGGCAGATCAAAGATGCATTTCTCCAGTTTAGTTTAGAATTTGTAGGATTCCCCATACATATCCACACAAAGTAAAGTTTTCAGTAATTAAGCAAATTGTTCAAATAATAAAAAATGTCCAAAAGTCATGATAAATTACATAAAGACTAAATGAAAATTCACAAAGCTAAATGGCATTGCTGTATAATCAAACTTTCCATAATAGATAGTAAAGGCACCTAAATATTTGTGCCATTCCTAGCTCCTCTGAAATGCAATTTCTTAAAGACGAATGCATTAGGAGCCAGGTGCAAAAGTTCAGAAATGTATAGAATGATCTGTACTGGTTAATAACTTCAGAAATCAGTTGTCATGGACTAAAACAAGAGTGCCTTTCTTTTTAACAAGTACTATATAACAAAAAGCCTGAAGCATTTGCTGAGGAAGAAAAGAATCAAGTAAAATCTTCTTCTAAATTTTCACTGATAAATCTTTTAAAAGTCAAGTTTGCTTTGATACTGGAACGTAACATGTTATGGAAATAGTAGTGAGTCAAAAAATCAATGCAGATGCTATGCTCTCTCCCTTTTTTATACACATCAACATTATTTGCATTTTTGGCAAGCAAGGTAGGAGGGAATTGCAGATGGAAGGTGGTAAACTGAAAAGATATAAATCAAAGGTTAGGTCTTCCTAGTTTCAATGAACATGAGCAAGCTGTGTCTGAAGCCAATTTCTTCCTTACTCTATTAGAAAATGTAATGTGGGAACTAAGCAAAGCTGAAGGGATTCCTGATTATTGTTAATGGGGAGTACAAAATGATCAGGAACAGGTTGTGAGCTTTACAATAAATCATCAATAGTTTCAACTCAGGATCTGGAGGATCAACAGGCTGAGCAGGGAAGATATATTTGAATACAATGGAGGTTTCAGTGAAGTTGGTGGTAAATGCCTATGGTTACATTTTTTTTAGACTTTCTGAATCTGTAACATAACAAAAATGAGTCAATGATAGTGTATTACATCACATATCTAGACAGCACCTAATTTCTGGATATTCTAAATCCAGACTTTTTATAGCTGGGACCATTTTATTTTCTGAGAGGCCAGAGTTGAAGTTTTTCAGACAGTTCTTTCAAAGTTCCCCCGTCTTCAACCTAGTTGATACTTTAGCATAGCATTCACATACAAAGTGGCCAAATTCTCGATAATTTAAACACAGTTTTTGCATTTCAGCACGGCCTTAAAAGAGGAGTTCTGCTAGTACGAACTATGTGCGTTCAACTTCCAAAATCTATGAAATGGGGGAGGAGAGATGAGGCAGGACTAAGAGAATAGTGATTTCTTTCCTTTTCTGCCCATACTCACTGTAATTTAAGTCTTCCATCAATATAGGTAGTCCTCGACGTACAACTACAATTGAGCCCAAAATTTGTTGCTGAGACATTTGTTATGTGAATTTTGCCCTATTTTATGACCTTTCTTGCTATAATTGTTTAGTGAATCACTGAAGTTTTTAAGTTAGTGACAAGCTTTCCCACTGACTTTGCTTGTCAGAAGATCGCAAAAAGTGATCACATGACCCCAGGATACTACAACCATCATAAATATAAGTCAGTTGCCAAGCATCTGAATTTTGATCACATGATTGGGAATGCTGCAATCATCCTGTGTGAAAATTGACTTTTTTCAGTGTTGTAATTTTGGTCACTAAACAAACTATTATAAGTCAAGGACTACCTGTACTTAAGAAAATTTAAGTGACAAGGTCTTTGGGATGCCCTTCTCCCCAGAGTCCTTCCTGTATTTCATCTGATAATCCCACTTTAACAATTATGCTGTTTTCATTCCAGCTTACATACTGAGCTATCAACTGTAAGTCAACAGTATACATCTATACCTTGCAATGGATTTTATACTTGGCAATCTATTTGACAGACGTAACGAGACTAGTGTTCAAAAATTGATAAAGTTGTCCAAGTCTGGACAGCTCTGTATCAGGAGGGTTGCCTGTTTTGCAGGTTTCTCAGTCATTAAATTGCTTATACTTCTTATACAAGATTAGTTTGGTTGAACTGCACATCCCATTTCATTTGACTCTGAGGAGAGTCAAAAATTACTGCTTTGAATTGAGTTTTCTTTAAATACATCAATTTCTGGAATGCCCCAACTGGCTGTACCTGAAATTACCTTCAAACTCCAGCTCAGCTTTGGGCAAATCACTGCTTCACAGGGCCCTGGGAGAAAGATAGGACAAAGTGCCATAATTAAGAAGTGGAATCCTTTGGTTAATGTCCCCACCACAAACCAAATCATGGTATTTTCCAGCCAGAGCCAACAACTGCTCATCTTGACTTTTCAGTTCCAAACAGTACACTCCCCACAATAGGATTCAATTTTTATTATTTCTTAAAGCAGCCTGTATATAAGTAAAAGGCGTGTGGACAGTAACAGTTCAAGTTAATTACTGGAAATCACGAAGCAAATGGCCACTCTCCCCCCCCCCCCCGGAGGGGAGGCGGGCATGCACCTGCTGGGATAATACCGGTATCTGTTGAAATGATGAGTATGGGGAAATGAGCTGGCAAAGGAAAGAGATGCCATTTTGGAAGCAGATTATTCCCCAGATACAGAGAAACTGGGGCTCGGGTCCCATTTCGTTCTATCCAAATTACCATCTCTTCATCCAGCCCATCCTCTCTCTCACCAGAGCAGTTCACCTGTCCTTCCTCCTTCTCCTCCTCCTCCTCCTCCTCTTCCTTCGGAGAGAAAGAAGTCAGAGAGCTCCGCTCACGGTTGCTTCTGAAGCGGCAGGGGCTATTATTTAGGTGGCTCCTGACCAGCATGCGCAGCCCCGCCCTGCGGCGGTGGCGAAAACCGTAACCGCTGCCTCAGGAAGAACCTGTTTTTCCAGCTGCGGAGACCGAGGCTGAAGCTGAGCAGGGCCTGGGCCAGAGGTCCCCCCGCGCGGAGCACCTACCTCGTCCGCGTTTCTGCGGGGAAGAAGATGAGCCGTGGCGGTTGGTTGCGCGCGCCCCGCTCCGACGCCGGTGGCTCCTCCTTACCGGGGAGCTCTCATGCCGCTCGCCGGCTCCTTGCCTTCCTCTCGCCCACAGCCGAGGCACCAGCAACTTCCCCGCCGCGTCCTGCCCTCGCGTCGCTCGCTGGGCACCGCGGTTGGCTCCAGGTGTTCCAGCGCAGCGAGCGTCACAAAGCCTCCGCCTGACAGGAGAACGGCCTCGAGCAGAGTTGGGCGGAGCTTCGGCCGCCCCCACCAAAGGCCCCTTCTACTTTTGCCTTCGGGAGGCGAGCGGACTGGAGCGACGCGCTCCGCCCTGACTCGGGCTTAGAGCGAGCCTCCCTTCCTCCCGCCGCTCGGGGCTGCCTGGCGCGGCCGGGCTTCCTGCTTCTGTTCTTTCTGTGCCCTCAGAGCAGGGGGTGACTCTTGGAACCCCCCTACCCTCGTTCTGCATAAACGTAAGAGATTAAAAAAAATAACTTCTAAATAACAGAACGGTGTTTTCCTTCCTTTCTTTGCCATGGAATGATCGACGTCACGACCGTAGCAATAAGCAGGTGGAATACTTTCAGTTATTGCCAATGAATTCAGATTCAGCATCTTTTCCTGTGCTACTTTTTTCCTAATCGCCCGCTAAAGCATAAGAGTTCAGCCATAGAAAGGGGGGGGGGGGTTTCCTCTTTTTCCTGCAAGAAGCCGAATTGCGGCTTCGAAACGGATTTTATGTAATTCGGTTGTTTCTAGTTTGAGTTGTGGGGGAATGAAGAAGGAAGCGGATTCCAGTAGTATGACTAAAAGCAAAAGTTTGTCTTTTTATCTAAGCAACACCTATTAGACTAATTAGAGTAATGCGAACATACAAGTTTTTGAACTGTTCTTTTGAATCGCTTAAAGCACAATTGCGTGTAACGGGAAGTATATGAGTTGATCTACTAGACTGCATTTTCCACTTCGGATTCTCATTGTGTTAAGACCTGTAGCTATAAAATATTGCCTTTTATCTTAATTTTATATCCTTTGCTATTGCTGTAAGCACTTGAACTCTTTTTAGCATCTCGTAGGACGACACAATCTTTATATTTATTTAAAGTAGATGAATTTTCCTTACTTCGCATACCATATGGCATATGGTAATAACTAATCATACCAGAATTTTCTGAATTTCCAGTACTATAATTTTTGCACTCTTTCCTATCTTTGTATTACATTAGTTATGTAATCATATTTCATTTTTTGTAGTTTTGGTAAGTAATATACGTGCAACTAATAATAAAAATGTAGTTACTATGTTTTTGTTTGACCTTGAAATGAAATCCAACTACATGTGTTTGTATTATAAAATTGTATAATTGTATACACTAAGGTTATTCCTTCTATCAAACTAGAATAATCTGTTAGCCCCTATCGTTTACTGTAATATATATCTCCCTCCACTGTACATGACTTTTTAAAACAATATAACCATTTAAATTAACCTAGTTTATTTAAAACTCTTGTTCTGGAGAAAAATTAAAAGATCTTTTAACAGTTGATACCGACATGATGGTATATAATCAGATTCAGAATTCAGAATCAAGATAATTAGTTGAGTAATTCTGTATGTTTTATATTCATATAAGCAATTTCTGAATGTATTTTTTTAAAATATCATTGAATCTTCAACATATAGGATATATCATTATCACTTTGAATTAGCATGATAGCAAGGAATCACATTTGATTCCTTTATTCCTTAAAAGTTCCTAAATACAATTTCTTTATTCTGTCTGAATAATAATGTAAAGCTTAAGAAGAAAATAATATTTTTTAAATATTGTGCTTAGCAAATAACATATTGTCTTAATGGTATTTTTAAATTACCAGTTAAAATAGAATACTTAAAATACACTAACCGATTTTATGGGCTGATTCTGATATAACAAGATAATATGGTTTTTGTACATAATTCAGGATCAAGCTTTACTCCTCTTTGCTTCAAGGGAAGCTAAATGTGGCCTGAAAACTGCTTTCACCGAACTAATGAATCAATAGTATATGTGAAAATAAGTCCCTACTACAGTGGTTCTCAACCTTTTTAATGCTGCGACCCCCAACCGGTCGTAAGTCGAGGACTACTCAACCGGTCGTAAGTCGAGGACTATGCAACTGGTGCAGCACCGTTTGCAGAATGGGACTTTTGGCGGGCTCAGCAGGGCAAAGACAGCCTGGACAATTCCTATTGGCTTTTGAAAGCCAATAGAATTAGACTCTATTCAAGAGGGAGTAGCACAGCTAAGGAAAAGGGGAAAAAAATGGCGGACTGCGTTGTTTGGCGACCCCCGGGAAATGGTCGTTTGACTCCAAATGGGGTCCCGACCCACAGGTTGAGAACCACTGCCCTACTATTAGGCATTAGCAGGAAAAAATGGGTACATTTTGCTTTGATAATAGAGCTCTCGTCTTAGGTTGCATAGCATTTGTACTAAATTGTTGTTGCTGTGATATTAGTAATTTGGTAGCAAGGAAACACGAATACTACTTTTTAGCCTTATTTGCTTTTTATATTTATAGATCATAAAGCAACAGTAACCTCCCAAAGATACCAGAGAACATGCAACATATGTTGGATGAGAAAATAACAATGATGGAAATTACTGAGGCTATAAAAAGACACACAAAAAAAAGATAAAACTCTGGGACCTGATGGTTTACCAGCGGAATTTTATGTAGCTTTACAAGATATAATAAGTCCGATACTGAAAGATCTTTGTAATGAAACTTTTTTGGGGATGAAAATACCAAAATCCTGGACAGAAGCTAACATTTCTCTGATTTCCAAAGATGATACTGATTTCACACAAATTAAAAACTATAGGCCAATATCACTATTAAATGTGGACTACAAAATATTTACAGCAATAATAGCAGAAAGAATGAAGAAATTTTTGAATGAATTTATTCATTCAGATCAAAATGGCTTTTTGCCTAAAGACAGATAAAGAATAACTTAAGAATTATTTTAAATGTGTTAGAATACTATGATAAAACATCTGGGAAAACAAATGGCATTGATATTTTTGGATGCACAAAAAGCTTTTGATAATCTTAACTGGCAATTTATGTTTCATCAATTGCGAGTGATGAACTTCGGTGAAATTTTTATAAATGCAATTCAAGCAATTTACAAGGAACAATCAGCAAAGATACTTATAAATGGAGACTATACAGATAATTTTGAGATTAGGAAGGGTTCAAGACAGGGATGTCCACTGTCTCCCTTGTTATTTATTCTTACACTGGAAGTGTTGGCCAGGAATATTAGACAAGATGGGGAGATCAAAGGACGAGATAAAAAAATCAGAAATATAAATTACAAGCTTTTGCAGATGATTTGGTTTTTATTTTGGAGGAGCCTTTGGAAACAGCCACTAAATTATTGCAGAAAATAGAGGAATTTGGAGAAGTGGCTAGGTTGAAAATAAATAGGGAAAAGACTAAAGTACTTACAAGAAATTTAACAGAAAAACAGAAAGCTCAATTTGTGGAAAAAACAAATCTCCAGATGGTTAAAAAAGTTAAATACTTAAGTATTTATTTAACATCAAAATGTATAACAATAAAAGAAAATAACTATGGAAGATTATTGAATCAAATAAAAATGGATTTGGAAAAACTTTCAATTATCTTTATTAGGAAGGATAGCGACTATTAAGATGAATATCCTACCCAAATTGTTATTTTTATTTCAGACGGTTCCTGTTAAACTAAGCCAGAAATTTTTTGATGACTTAAATGCAACAGTAATGAGATTTATATGCAGGGGAAAAAAGTAAGAATTAAAATTAAACTGCTACAAGAATCAAAAGACAGAGGGGGCTTTGGGTTCCCAGACTGGAGACTTTATTACCAAGCCACTATTTTGTTGTGGCTTAAAGAATAGATCACACTGAGAAATAAATGACTTCTTTACTTAGAGGGACATGATTTGCAACTGGGTTGGCATTCTTTCCTTTGGTACGAGAAAAACAAAGTACATAAATACTTCCAAACTCATGCCATAAGGAATGTATTCCTTTCAGAGTGGGAGATAGTTAAAAAGAAAATTTATATGAAAATACCTGAGTGGCTTTCCACAATGGAAGCATTTGCGTATCCAAATTTAATTAATTATGACAAACTTGTGGCCTAGAAAGACATTTTAGATAAAGAAGGAAAATGTAAAAATAGGCAACTTCAACAAACTGGCATTGATTTAACATGGTGGTCATACTTGCAAATTCAAACAAGATATGAAAAAGGTGTAAAAGTAATGGGATTTTACAAAGAACAGACATCACTAGATAAAATACTTTTGAAAACAGATGAAAATCTGATTAAGAAACTATGGAAAAACTATGGGACTGAAATATTAAATTTACTAAAGCAGCTGCATAGAAGGAAAACTTATATAAAATGTTTTATAGATGGCACATGACACCAGTTAGATTAGAGAAAATGTTTAAAAATGTATCAAATATGTGTTGGAAATGTAAACAACAACTAGGCACTTATTACCACCTCTGGTGGATATGTCCTAATGTTAAAAAAATTTGGTTTAAGATCCATATGTGGCTAGAAGAGATGATTAAAATACAGATAGAATTTAAACCAGAACTCTGTTTGTTAGGAATATTAGGTTTGAATTATGGAAAAGAGAATGAGTATTTAATATTGCATGTTCTGACAGCCGCAAGAATAATATTTGCCCAATTTTGGAAAAATGAAAATTTACCATCTGACCAGGCTATAATAACAAAAATACTCAAATGTGCAGAAATGGATAGACTGACTTTAGAAATGAAAGAGAAAGAAGACACAATTTACTTTAAAACATGGGGAAAATTTTATTATTGGTTAGAAACACGCTAGAGCAGTGGTTCTCAACCTGTGGGTCGGGACCCCATTTGGGGTCGAACGACCATTTCACGGGGGTCACCAAACAACGCAGTTTGCCATTTTTTTCCCCTTTTGCTAGCTGTGCTACTCCCTTTTATTCTATTGGCTTTTGAAAGCCAATAGAATAGACTCTTGAATAGAGTCTAATTCTATTGGCTTCAAAAGCCAATAGGAATTGTCCAAGCTGTCTCTGCCCTGCTGAGCCTGCCAAAAGTCCCATTCTGTAAATGGTGCTGCACCAGTTGAGTAGTCCTCGACTTACGATCGGTTGGGGGGTCGCGGCATTAAAAAGGTTGAGAACCACTGCGCTAGAGTGAGAAAAGGTTATGAAATTTAAAGAGATAATTGATAATTTGTATTTATATTCCATGATTATTTGTATGAAGTTCTTATTTCTTCTTCTTCTTCCTCTTTGTATATTTGTGATCTTAAATAATATGGTAAACTATAATTAATATGTAGTATATTATTATTTTAAAGTGATTATAATTAATTAATATTAAGCTTTATTAAGTAGTGAAATGAATGAGATTTATTGACTAAT